AGAGAACCTACTAGTACCTGCAAGCTGAAACACAAAATGCAACTTTTTTCCTGAAATTGTACCAAAAGCCCTTTTATCATTTCTTTTCAGAACTCAATATATATACATATATATATATTTGAAGAAGAAGAAGAAGAAGAAGAAGAAGAAGAAAAACCCCTCTTATAATTGTGATTCACTCCAAAGTAAGAGAGATGACACCGTATTTAATTAAGAACAAGAGATTACAGTAATGTGGATTTATCACAATACACACAAAATTATCCTATTTTTACCTATTCATTGGAAAGCCCAATATGCAGACATTCATTCAGACTGTGAAACCAAATGTACCAAAACAGAATAGTAAAAGCAAGAAAGAAACTAGACACTTGTTATGTAGTTACAGACGGCGGCAACGGCGGGGCGACGGTAGGTAGGGAGGAGCGGCGTCTCTCTCTCTCTCTCTTCTTCTCTCTCTCACTCCTGCCTTCTGCTTCTGCATTAAACCTGGATTTTTATTTTTATTTTTATTTTTATTTTTATTTTTTTTAAAATTATTAACCAAAACGACGACATTTTAATTAATTTTATTTTCAATCCTTGGATTCTTTCATATAAGGAGATCACTTCAGGCTTTCGCTTTAGAAGATGCTGATACAAAAAAATCATCCCTTATTGTAACTGTATGGTAAAAAGTAGACAACGACAAAAAGCAATTTGGTGGCACAGTAAAACATAGATAATGGTAGTAAAATTTGGAGACCAAGGTGGATCTAGATGGTCGGTCCAAAATGGACGATGTGGTCGGTCCAAAATGTTTAAACAAAGAAAATAAAAAATGAGTAATTAGTCAAGAATGGTGTTATCTGGGTTCACTACCTACTACAGACTGTTGTTTTGTTTATTATAAAAGTAAGTCAGAATTAAGAGTGACAGCACTACCCATGCCACTTTCACAGGAGGTAGTAATTGGTTTCGTTTACAGTTTATTGTTATTTTTTATTTGGGATAAATTATGTTGATAGAATTATATTTTGATTATTGTATTATTTTAGTTCTTATAATTGGACAAATTATTTACACCTCTCTTTAGATTTAACAAACTTACAGATTTTTTCACGAGGTTTCAAAGATTACATTCCGTTCTATCGCAATTAATGCTGTTAACGGATATCAAAAATTGACTAAAATATCCTTTTGACAAATAAGGGCAAATTACCTACAAACTCTTGAGGTTTAGCTAAATTACAGATTTCTCCCTAAGGTTTAACTAAATTACAGATTCTCCCTAAGATTTAACTAAATTATCATTTTTAAATAAGTTATGAAATGCAAAATTAAAATGGAAAAACACTTATCACACTAAAAAATTAAAGTTTTAGAGACCAAAATATAGAGACAAAATTATTTTTAGGGGACCAAATATTTTTGTTGTGAAAAGTGTTATTATATTTTTAGTAACAAAAATTGAACATTAGTGATTAATTATTATCTTTTTGTTATCAAATTTTTTGTCTCAAAAATAAACCATTATGAAACTAAATTATTTTGTCTCTAAAAATCTATTTATTATTGGCATTTTCAAAATTTTATCACTAAAAACTAGGGATGGCAATGGATAACCTACCCTGTGGGTATCCATGGAGACCCAACCCAAATACATGGGTTTTCCTAGGGGTGAGCATGGTCCGGATTGGACTGGATTGGGGTAAAACCAGGACCAATCCGTTATCTACGGTTTCTGAAAAATTAAAACCAATCCAATCCGTTTAAATCATGGAACCAATCCGAACCAATCCATTTAAATACGGATTGGATCGGTTTAGGACCACGGATTCACATAATTAAATAACAAAAAAATATATATAACACTTTAAAGCTACGTAGCATTATCGATAATTTTTTTTAATTAAAAGAATTTTTCTTAGTTATGAACAGATTTAACTGAAATCAGCTTGTTTCCCAATGTTATGCTTCATTTATTTAGATAGAAAAATATTTTTAATGAAAATATTTTTTATAAAAAAATTCAAAATATATTTTTTTATATTTGGTGGTGGTGGTGATGGAACGAAGGTGAAAGTAGAAATTGTTACATAGTGGTGGGGTGATGGCGGCAGTGATGACGGTAGTGGCTATGATGATGATGTGTGACAGTGAAAGTGAGAATAGTGGTGATGGTGTTGTGAAATTAGTAAAAATTTAATTGAAAAAACATTTTTTGTTTTTTAAAAGTAACAAACAACAAAATTCGTGGGGACTAAAGGAAGAAGATGGAGGATGGATTGGGTGTGGTAATGCATAGATATCTTAAAATGAGTGGTTCAGATTTGTTAAAGGTATAATTAGATTTTGGATAAATTAAAATGAATTGTTCAAATTTGCTAAGAGAAAGATGGTTTAATGTCTAAATTGGTCCGTGGCTAACAATTCCTTGTTTATGCCCTGATGCAATTTAATAGGAGTCTTATAACACTTTCTTCAAACAAACTTTTTGATTTTCTCAAATTATATATTTGATTGTTATAAACAAACTTTTTAATTAATTAATTAATGTGTATTTGATTTTGTTGTTGAACCAAATAAAATAAAATAAGATTGAATGTATATTTAGCTTTTGTTGTGAACCTTAAAAAAATAAAAAATAAAAAAATAAAATAAAAAAATAAGTTGTTAACATTAAATATATTAAAAAAGAAAGAAAAAAGATTGAAGGTATATTTAGCTAAAACCTTTATAAAAAAAAGACAAAAGAAAAACAAGAAGGTTGTTAACATTAAATACATTAAAAAAGAAGAAAAAAGATTGAAGGTATATTTAACTTTTGTTGTGAACCTTAAATAAAAAATAAAAAATAAATAAAAAAAAATTGTTAACATTAAATATATTAAAAAGAAAGAAAAAAAATTGAAGGTATATTTAACTTTTGTTGTGAATCTTAAAAAAAAAAAATAAATAAAAAATAAATAAATAAATAAATAAAAATTGTTAACATTAAATATATTAAAAAAGAAAGAAAAAAGATTGAAGGTATATTTAACTTTGTTGTGAACCTTAAAAAAAAAAAAAAAAAAATTGTTAACATTAAATATATATTTAAAAAGAAAGAAAAAAGATTGAAGGTATATTTAGTTTTTGTTGTGACCTTAAAAAAAAAAAAAAAAAAAAAAAAAAAAAAAAAAGTATTTGTTAACATTAAATATAAAAAATATAAAAAATAAAAATGGGGATTAAAGTGGGTTGGGGAAAATCCATACCCATTAAAAAATGGGGAGGGTGGTACCCATGGGGAATGGGGAATGGGGAAAATTTATTATAGGGGAATGGGGATGGGGAATTAATATCCACCCCATTGCCCCCCATTGCCATTCCTACTAAAAACCTTATTTTTGACTTTTGCAGGGGCGATCTTTTAGTTACTATTCTCATGACGATACATATTAGTCCCTAAGTGTTTTTGCAACAAAATTTTCACTTTTAGAGATCAAAAATTTGGTCTATAAAACTCTTATATATTATAGTGTCTGATGGTGAAAATATCATAAAATTAATAAATAATTAAATAAGTTAAAAACACAAGAAATGGCTTGTCAAAAAATTGATAAAATATGTTTGGTTCGATTTTAAGAAATTTATTTTTAAATTTTTTTTAAAAAATTAAAAATTAATTTGGTTAAGAAATAAAAAGTAAAAAAATATTATTATTTTCATATAATTTTATTTTTAAGTGGTTAGAAATAATTTTTACAAATTTAATATATTTGTTCATATTTATTTTTATTAAATTATTTTTTATTTTTTTTTAAATTCTGAAATTTTTTTCTAAACAACAAATCGAACATGGTTCAAAAACCTTAATTTTTTTTTCTTTTCCATCTAACGTAATTCTTTTGTAAATTTTGTTGATTTATCAAAGAGATTTCAGTAGGGGCAATATCGTCCATCAATTTATATTTTGGTGATGTCAGTTAACCATTCTTAATGTTTATTTAACAGTAGAAATTAAATTGTTATGCGAATATAAACCTCACGGGACGGGATGTAATTTATGAAACCTCAGGGGAATCTGTAATTTAACTAAACCTCAAAGGAAGTGTAGGTAATTTGCTCCTTATAATTTTAATTAGTTCAATTTTGATTATAAATTTATAATTGTTTCTTAATTTAGTATAATTACTTACAATTGTCAACATTTTTAAATGAAAAATGCACATAAATGACATGCTTAATGCTTTTAAGACAAAATTATAAATTTGTTCAATTTAGTAAGTAAATTTTAACAAGTTTAAAGATTTTTTAGGTCAAAAACACTAAAAGCGTTATTGGTTAGACCAAACTGACACAAAATTTAAAATTAATAATCAAAATTAAGTTTATTGAAAGTGTAGGGATCAAAATTATATAAGAAACAAAATAGAGGAACTATTGGTGTAATTTGTTACTTGATTGGGTAAATTATATTTTTCTTATTTTATAGTTGGCCAATTTCTCATTTGACTCTTAAAATTTATTTTTTCCCACTTCAATCATTTATGTTTAAAGTTTTTTTCAGTTTACTCTTAAAATTAATTTCTATTAAAAATTAGATAAAAAATGATATATTGAGTACCAAGTGATACAAAAATATTTTATTATATATAACTTACATATTTGACATAAATTTAAATCTCAAAATAAGAATATATTTTTTATATTATGTGATAGTTATTATGATATTTTCTGTCTAATTTTAAATAAAAATTAATTTTAAAAGTAAATTAAAAAAATTTAAAATACAAAAAGAAAAAATATAATAAAATAAATTTTAAAAGTTAAAGCGAAAAAAATCAAATATAAAGGAAATAAAATGTAATTTAACCTTTTTATTTATATGGATAGATATGGTCGGTGTGACTGGATAAAGATTTAACTTCCAACCAATCAAAGTTATGCCCGTGTGAGCATTTGATGTGTAGAATGACTTTCTCAACTAAAGTAATCAAAATAGGGGACAAAAAAAAGGTTTGTGTTGCTTGCTGTTTTTTTTGTATATAAATAAAGCCGGTGAACAAACCAAACTACCAAAGTATTGTGGAAACTTGAAAGTGATAGACATTGAGAGAAAGTGATAGAGAGAGAGAGACATGAGTGATAGCAAGGGAAAAGAAGCGAGTGCATTGAAGAAACTAGGGGTTCAAGTACAGAAAGGGGATCACTATTTGTGTCAAGAAAAACAGCAGAGTGTAACAAAATGTAAGAGCAACGGCCAAACATTGTCTTACCAATCTGAAGAGAAAGCTGCTGTTGTAACCAAGATTGGCAAATCTTCCACCACCACCGTTAGTCTCTTCCAGCGTCGAGTGGAGGAGGTAATGTCATTCAAACTATACTCTACTTATTGGGTTTATAATTGTTACCATGGAAACACTGCTTTTGAAGAAAAGTGAAATGGATTTCAAATTATCAACTTGTTTAAAACTATAGTTCAATTTTAGCAGTGTATAAAGGTTGTTTTGTAGGGTCGGGTTTAGATCGGGTGATCTATAATCGGATATCACATAATCCAATTCGGATCTGATTTAGGTTCTTTTAATTGGGTCGGATTTAGGTTCTCTTAATTGGATCAAATTTGAATTTTGTCAGACCCCATCCAAATCCATCCCTTTACATGCCTAATTTGATGTTATAACTTGTGTTGGAATGTTTTAGTATATCAGGTATTGTTTAGTTGTTATTTCATTTTCACCTATTAAAAGACCTTATTAAGTATTTTTAATTTGTAAAAAAGAATTTGAAAATTGTGATACAAAAATATATTATTTTTTAGTTATTAATTTTTTGTGCCAAACGAACAATTTGGGACAGAGATGGTACAGTTATATAGTAGGATTCACTATCACATATATAATATTACCCCCCTTAATTTTTACTATTTTTTTCTACATTATTGTGTAAATTATACATTAAAAATTTTGATTGATGTAATAATCATAATCATATGATTTTTTGAACAGACAATTCACCACAAATCACCTCTTCCTGTTAAGGACGAGATAACTCACTTCAGCCATCGCCATGCCCTGCATCAGTACAAGGTGCAAAAACGAGACAAAATCAATTGCAACATATGTGAGGCAGAAATTGTAGACAAGGCTTGGAGCTGTGAAAGTTGTAAATTCTTCATTCACAAGTCATGTGAAAGCATCCCACAAAAGATCAAACACAAATCCCACCTTCGCGACACTCTCACCCTCCGATCTTCCACCAATTATGCATGTGGAGAGTTCACTTGTAATGCTTGTTGCGACTCTGACAAGGGGTTTCACTACCACTGCTCTCCATGCAAGTTCGATATCCATGTTGCCTGTGCTGGCTTGCCCTCTGCCGTGAACTATCAGAAGCACAAAAACCCGCTTACCCTTTGCTATGATTTCCCCATCCTTAGTTCTGAAACTGTCAAGTGTAAAGTTTGTGACATGAAGATCAATAAGAAAGGGTGGGCATACTATAACGAAGATTCCAAGTTTATTGCTCATATATATTGTGCAGTCGATAAGAAAAAGAAAGATTCGATTCTCGCTATCCAGAAACGCTTACAATCTCTTCAAATGAAATGAACAGCCAAGAAGCGAACCCTTTGCCATTTAAGCGATCTATTAGGTTATGTTGATCTATGTTTTTTATTAAGTGCTATGTTGTTGTTATTGTTGTGTTGTGTTTTGGGATAATGATCTTCATGTCAACATTGCTGCATTTGTAATTCTCTTGATGTGGTATGTTCGAGCACTTCAATTACTAAATAATGCTCATGTTATGATGTTCTATTCCAATCTGTGTGTTGTGTACTTTGCATTCCATAATTCCATTGTTTTTTTATTTGATTGAGGGACATTATCCGACATGCACAGAGGTCTCACAGCTCTACCACTACCCCCATCAAGTTAACTCATTAATATTATGTAAACATTTATTGATAAAGCTAATATTTATATTGTTAAAAGGACCTTATAAAATTGAGAAAAGAAGTATGCTAATTTTATTTTGATATTAAGAGATATTTTTAAAGTTTTATTGAGGGCATTCTGGTCAAAGGCCTATTTTTTAAATTGTTAAGCCAACAGGTCCAATTGGCCTAAACTTAATTTTTAGGCTAAAAGCACTTTATTTGTCTAATTATTTGTTCAAAATTTAACCATCGGTCTATCTGTTAAAATATCACATATTTGTTCAAATATACCTATTTGTACGCGTCACATATATGTTTAATTATCTAATCAAATGTATACGTATGTCACATATTTGTCTAACTATCTATTCAAATGTATATATGTGTCACTATCTATTCACATAATTGTTTAATATCATCTATTTGTCAACTTATTGCCACCAACTGCCTTGTCAACTTATTGCCACCAACTGCCGTCACCAGTCATTTTTTGATGATTTTTCCAAGCAATTTTTTGGTGACTTTCCTAGCAACAGTGCATGTCGTTATGAGAAATTTTATTTTCACACACTTACTTAACTCAGTACACATACTTAATGAATTTTTATTTTAATGATAATTATACCTTAAAGTAAAATAATCATAATAGATATCAAAACACACCCATGATATTATATGAAAATATTCTCTGTACACATATTTTAAAAACAAAAAATCTCAATGCACATCTTTTAATAATAATAATAAAATAAAAAAAAACTAACGAACCCTTATTTTTCCATTTTAGACAAAAACAACAGAAAAAAAAAATTAGATTAGAAGATTTTTATGGTCTTTCTTTCTTTCTTCTTAGCATCAGTTTTCTAGTCAACCAAACAAATTAAGATTACATATTTATACATCCAACTAAAATAAAAGCATTATAAAATAATTAAAACTCCTTGATTGTGTGGAGGAATTTTCATTACATATTGAACTTAAAAATAAAAAAATAAAAAAACCCTTTTTTAATTAGCTAAATCCAACATTCTACAATAGACTTTTATAAACTAAACCCTAAAAATCATATATATTGCAAACCTTAATTGAGAAGAAACTGTTGATCTCAATCTTATCCCAACTTCTGTGGTGGATTAGACCCCTCATTTCTCCTTTTTCATCTCCACTGCCACTCTCCATTTGCTGCTCTCTTTCTCCATTTCTAGTGTGTTTGTTTATTACTAAATCATTACCATGATGAAGCAAGAATACAAATTGAACATTTTAATAGCAAAGACCCATATGAGATTTCATCCAACTAATTAATATGAAAATAGAAATACTAGAGCTTGTTTGGAAAATGGAAATGGGTTTGATGATAGAGGTTAATGAAGATAATAGAGATGGAATTCTTTTTCGTTCAAAGATGCTCTTTGTTAGAGCTTCGATTTCCTCTTGATCAGAGTTTACTCTGGACTATAGATCGACTCCATCAATTTGGCATTGGACAAATTGCTTATTGAGTACATAAGAGGAGCTAGATTGATGTGAAAGTGTGTGGAAAGATGGTTGAGATCGTGTGTGTACGAGATATGAGTTAAGGAAATAATTGAAATATTTGGCGTGTAGTATGAGAACAATAATTAATAATCAAATTATTAAGTGTGTGCATTAAGAAATGATATACACTGATGTAAATAGGTGCGTGGAAATAGAATTTCTTTGTCATTATCATAAAAAAGAATAAACATTGGACTAAATGACATATAAGTCCATAAAAATATATTTTTCACCAATTAACCATTTTATCTATTTATTTAATTTTCTATAAGGCATTTGTAGGAAAAATCCTCACAAGGAGATATTTGTAATTTTCATAACATAAGGAGAAAATTCATTTGTTGCTTTGCTTGTTATTTGTTACTAAGCCATTTATTTTTGTTGGTTTCTCACCAACTCTTGATGTTGTATTAGCAAGTGAGTAGGTGCGCATTTCAGTGCCAACTTAGTTCGAATCGATTTGTTTTGCTATGGTATTCTTTGCACTGATCGTTTTCCTTTTTGATGTAACATCTTCGATTTCATTAAAAACAAAAGTGCATAATGTACTTTCGAATAGGATTGAATTTTTCTCAAATTCAAATATGAATTTGACTTGAGGTAGGCCACCACAGTCCTCGTGCCGATAATCTGAATCATTTATTTTATAGTGTCCTCGATGTCTATTATTAATTAAAAAAAAAAAACTAGGTCAATCAGATAAACATAATCTTTTCCATTTTTTTTTATCTGATTGAGGGACATTATCCGACATGCACAGAGGTCTCACAGCTCTACCACTACCCCCATCAAGTCAACTCATTAATATTATGTAAACATTTATTGATAAAGCTAATATTTATATTGTTAAAAGGACCTTATAAAATTGAGAAAAGAAGTATGATAATTTTATTTTGATATTAGGAGATTAAAAAATTTAGAAATTCGCTGGATATTAATTTGTGATTATGTATCAATTTAAAGCAATAAAACAATCCCAATCAAACAATCAAGACAAATCGACACAACGATTTTAACGTGGAAAAACCACAATTGGAGCACCTCCAATTGTGATAAAAAAAACCACGGGCGACAGCCACAAAACAATCCACTACGAAGATATAAATGAATTACACAGGTATACTCTTAATTACCTAGTGAATCCACGTCCCGAATTGAACAAACCCCTATGTGCCTCTTCCAACCCCGTCTTCACCTCGGAATTGTCTTGACGATGAGAGCCACTCCAGAATCCACCAAAGCTTCAGGCTCGAATTCTTCAGAATCCACCGAAAAACAACTCTCTCTCTCTTGTATAGAATGAATAAACAATCCTTTGATGTATTCTCCTTAAACCATGAGTTGAATATTCAATTAAACATCAAAGAAAAACCCGCAAAATATCCCCAGATACAAACCCTAGGACCCAAAAAGAAGATCTGGAGAAGTAATCCTAAAATCTGACAGAAACCCGTACTTATAGAAATCTGAATCGCGAAGCTCGCTCGAGCGAAGACTCTCTCGCTCGAGCGAGGAACCAAAAACGCGTGTTTTCCATAAGCGGCTTCGCTCGAGCCACGCAACCTTTGCTCAAGCATGCAATCAACTCTTTCAGGTTTTTACACAGACACAGCCTTCGCTCGAGCGAGAACTCCTTCGCTCGAGCGAGCAAGGGTGGATAGGAAACTTTGAATGCAATTTTGCATTTTGCTTCGGGGGCGCTGCCCCGAACCCGCCAAGGGGCGCTGCTCCCTGGACCCCCACAAGCTGACCGGGCAACTCGATCCCCGTCATAATCAGCAAAGTGGCAATCTTGAAAGTATTAGCATCACAAACATCTCTGCAAGGCACAATTCGGGTTGGATTCGCATCTAAACACTCATAGCCTCACTGAAATAAAAAGTGCGAAAATAAATACAATTGAAAGGAGTTTTGTCAAGCGGGATTGCCAAGAATAAAAACCTAACAGAGATATTTTTAAAGTTTTATTAAGGCATTCTGGTCAAAGGTTTATTTTTCAAATTGTTAAGCTAATAGGTCCAATTGGCCTAAATTTTTAGGCTAACAGCACGTTATTTGTCCAAATTGATATGTTATTTGTTCAAAATCTAACCATCTGTCTATCTGTTAAAATATCACATATTTGTTTAGATATACTTATTTGTACATATGTCACATATATGTCTAATTATCTATTCAAATGTATATACGTGTTATATATTTGTCTAACTATCTATTCAAATACGTGTCACTTATCTATTCACATAATTGTTCAATATCACATATCTGTCAACTCATTGCCATTAACTGCCATCGCAGTCATTTTTTGATGATTTTTCAAAGCAATTTTCTGGCGACTTTCCTGCCAACAGTGCATGTCGTTATGGGAAATTCAATTTTCATATACCTACTTATCTCAGTGCACACACTTAATGAATTATTATTTTGATGACAATTATACTCTAAAATAAAATGATCATAATAGATATCAAAACACACCCATAATATTATATGGAAATATTCTCTGTACACATTTAAAAAAAAAAAAAAAAAAATCTCAGTGCACATCTTTTAATGAAAAAAAAAAAAACTAATAAACCCTTATTTTTCCATTTTAGACAAAAACAGCAAGAAACAAAATAGATTAGGAAATTTTTATGATCTTTCTTTCTTTCTTCTTAGCATCAGTCTTCTAGTCAACTTTAAGACCATATATTTATACATCCAACTGAAATAAAAGCATTATAAAATAATTCAAAATCAACATACAAATAGAAGTACTAGGGCTTGTTTTGAAAATGGAAATGGGTTTGATGATAGTAGTTAATGATGATAATGGAGATGAAATTCTTTTTAGTTCAAAGTTGCTCTTTGTTAGTGCTTCAATTTTCTCTTGATTAGAGTTGACTTTCGACTATAAATCGACTCCATCAATTTGGCCTTGGACAAATTGGGCATTGACTACATAAGAGGAGCTAGATTGATGTGAAAGTGTGTGGAAAGATGGTTGAGGTGGTGTGTGTACGAGATATGAGTTAAGGGAATAATTCAAATATTTGGTATGTAGAATGAGAATAATAATTAATAATCAAATTATTAAGTGTGTGCACTAAGGTAAGTAGGTGTGTGGAAATAGAATTTCTCTGTCGTTATCATAAAAAAGATTAAACATTGACTAAATGACATATAATCCCATAAAAATGAATTTTTCACCAATTAACCATTTTATCTATTTATTTATTTTTCTGTAAGGCAGTCGTAGGAAAAATCCTCACAAGGGGATATTTGTAATTTCCAAAACATAAGGAGAAAATTCGTTTGTTGCTTTGCTTGTTATTTGTTGTTAAGCTCGTTGTTTTTGTTGGTTTCTCACTAACTTTT